TTTTATCGTCCGTTTAAGACTGGCCACGTGACGGGCTCTCCACCAATAGGAAAAGCTAAACTGTCTGAGGTATTTATGAATAATAAATCAAGCTAAAACGAAACCAATCAAAATATCGTAAACTGAATATACGTGTTCCTTTTGTCTGGACATTGAGTCGAAGCATAAACTCCTTAAAGCGTCCATGATGTGCAATGTACACACCTCCCCAAATTAAACCTATCAAGATAAAGCATATATTATAACTGTAGAGATAAAGACTAGACTTTCGAAAATTTTGAAAGGCAACGAGATTACAGCTATTTTGTTCCATGTTAGATTGTACCATGATTAAAGCAAAGACTAACCCCTAGTGTAACAAACAACCTTCTTACAAATACGAAATGGAACTTAAAATGATGAAATAGAGGGACCAGGCTGACTCATTTCCTTGCGAATAGGTATACGTGCTCCTCATGGCTCCTTCTGATGAAAGCCAAAAAGGTCATATTAAATTCCTAAATCCCTTTAGGTTTTTTTGCCTTCAGATGAAACAGTTAGGGACTGAACTTTCACTCGGCGAAATCTAACAAACAAATCACATCAACAGCAGCACTTCAATGTTTTGCAGGTTTAAGTTCCAAACATTCACTCCTGTGAAGGAGACAAAAATAAATATATCTGACCCGTCTGACAAAATGAGAGGAAATTTGCATTATTTGCAATTATTTTGCGGGACCATATATTTAAAAATGTCATTTTCTCGGCAATTTTGACGATTATTATTGATTATTATGCCTGGTCAGAAATATTGAAACAATGTCGGGAACAAAGACACAAAGCTGCCAGAATAATGCCACATTGTCACCTTGAACGTTTACCCTAAGTGCCCCATTTGTATACCAGTGGAAAGCTTTTTTTTCTACTGATTAATTGAAAATAACAATAATTATCTCAATTTTGAAAATTCTGATTTTAAGCTTAGTGACAGTTCACATCATTAATTATTCTTAATAATATTATTAATTCACCACCACCGAAATCTAGTAGACATTTCTAAAGTAGACAATTTGTTTCACGCTGGTTGTATTTTGTCTATTCTCTATTGTCGTTCGCATTTGTGTCCTTGCTTTACTGAATTAAAGGCTATACTGTTTTTTTCGTTCAATTTCAATGTCGAAATAATAATGACACATGAACAGTTTCAGTAACACTTTTCTTAATTACTGTAGATGTCAATTCCCACAACAAAATAGATATGTCGTCAACTTAAAACTTGGTAACAATTTCTGTGGCTTGTGGATCATCATCTTGGAGATGGGGGAAAAAATCAACGTGGGAAAGTGGAATCCACAGGGAAGGCTTCTCCACCAGGTGCCGTTCTCTGAATATGCGCAAGTTGGGACGCTTCTTGATATTTTGAAGGTCGTGCATGCTCCTTTCTTGAAGATCGTCTTGCTGCGCATCGTTGTCAGTGTCGAACTGCAAAGTGAATACAAGTAAAAGTAACAATGTTAATTTAAGATATATAATGCACCAGTTTCCTACCAGAAGATTAATCAACCGTTTATTCCAAACCAAAGCGTGTTTTTACGAGAACCCACGTTAAATGAGTTTCACATAATTAGGCTGACACATGTCCATTTTACTTGCTCATTCACGTGAGCATCCAGATTTAAGTGATCATTTAATTTGATAAAAAGCAAATTAAAAAAAAAACCTGTAAAACAAACGAACAGCTCAAACAAGTCTACCTGAAACCTTTATTCGTTTTCTGTGTAATTGTATTATCTGTTTCAGCTACTTGTGTTACATTTGCCGGGAGAATTTGCATTTCAAATGATTTTTCACATGATACATTCAAGTATTTTAATCACACCTTGACTAAAATTAATGTTTATCTGCTGTGTTAAATGTTTATCTGATTTGATTATTACGGCGTAGAAATCGTCGAGTTTTAAGCTAGTGTCACGGATTTACAACTACTGGCCACATCTAAATCAAATGGCTGCCACAAATACCATTGCCAAAGGGAGATCTACCGAAAGATATCAAACGCTTTTTACTGGGTAAAGTACAATAAACCCATATCAAATGACAACAGAATTGCAAGATTTAAATAAAAAGAGAACATGTAATAGAGGGCAGATTTCATTACAGAATCTGTTGACCCATTACTCTGCACATAAACTTTGTAGACACTTACTATCACATGACAGGTCATTTCGATTGCATCGGCAACAAAAGCAGCATTGTCATGAAATAAACAAATAAAGAAAAAAACAATANTGCGAGAGGGCTCACTTGACCGCAGGGGTGGAAGTGACCAGGTCTCGAGCGAGATTCGGAGGATACGGCGGGTTCGGCATGTACGGACACCCACTGAAAGAGGATACGCCGTCTGGTGCCTGAAACTCACGCAAAATGACAAGGCAGCTGATGTGAAATATTCTTGAGTTTATGTAGCCGCTTCTTTCTGGAGTCGAAATAATTTTAGTAAGAGGCAAGTGGTATCCGCATTGACCAGAAGCACCCCCCGTCAGTTGAAAAGAGCCTCGTTGGTGCGAGTGTTCATTTTGTTGACAGCGATGCGACTGTGACGCATGCATTACCTAGTCGTTAGTGAACCAGCCAAGTGCAGTTCCGACAAAAAGAGCCTCCGTTGCTGTGAGAATTACGCACTTTCTCGGTCCAGATCGTGGGGCTCATACGATTGCACTAAAATAGCTTCATTTTCCTTGGAATTTCATCTATTATTACTTTAAAGCAATCATTTGCGATTATTATTGATGACTTTCTGTAGGTTTTCCTTTCGTCTGTGGCGTATGTCACATTCCACTGTTCTGCGTGTTATTTGTTCAGAGCAAATAGGATACGCTGTGTACGATAATTGGGCCTGAGGACCGGAAGTAGAAAACGGATACCAGACTACGGTTGTCACTGCCATTGAAAATCCAGAGGACAATGGGTAATTAATGTAAACACAGCTACAACTCTTTTCAAGAGTCAAGATCATTGTATTTCTCAACAATATAAAGAAAATGTAATATAGATAAGAATAAAACTGGGATTTCAAATTATAACGTTTTGAAACGATTAAAATCAAAATGTCTTTAATTATATTTTCCAGCCTAAGCATTACAGTAAACAGCCTATGCATGATACGCAGCACGACGTGTCGATATAAATTACATATAAGAAGCTCTGACAACGTGTCTTCTCCGCTCTACTACATGACGCTCATTTTTAGACAAAATTAAGGATTAATGCTGCCAAATTATTGCTTAGCGTCATCTGAAAGGGCATTCTGGTGACAATTGTGATGGTTGAAAGCCATTTTACCACGACTTTGCTCATGAATGTGCAGTTAGCAAAGACAGATTGTGCAAAGATTGGCGTCAAGTTGCCAGCCATGACGTTTCGGCTGCCGATGCCAGGCAGAGGCAGATCTGAATGCAGACAATGGACCGTGCTGTGTAGCATTGGCGCGGTCACTATGCATGCGTAGTGTCACGTGAATGTCCCTGTTCAGGGGCCACTTTGTTGCGGTTGGTATTTTATCGTCCGTTTAAGACCGGCCACGTGACGGGCTCTCCACCAATAGGAAAAGCTAAACTGTCTTAGGTATTTATGAATAATAAATCAAGCTAAAACGAAACCAATCAAAATATCGTAAACTGAATATACGTGTTCCTTTTGTCTGAAAAATGATGAAATAGAGGGACCAGGCTGACTCATTTCCTGGCGAATAGGTATACATGCTCCTCATGGCTCCTTCTGATGAAAGCCAAAAAGGTCATATTAAATTCCTAAATCCCTTTAGGTTTTTTTGCCTTCGGATGAAATAGTTAGGGACTGAACTTTCACTCGGCAAAATCTCACAAACAAATCACATCAACAGCAGCACTTCAATGTTTTGCAGGTTTAAGTTCCAAACATTCACTCCCGTGAAGGAGACAAAAATAAATATATGTGACCCGTCTGACAAAATGAAAGGAAATTTGCATTATTTGCAATTATTTTGCCGGACCCTATATTTAAAAATGTCATTTTCTCGGCAATGTTGACGATTATCATTATTGATTATTATGCCTGGTCAGAAATATTGAAACAATGTCGGGAACAAAGACACAAAGCTGCCAGAATAATGCCACATTGTCAACTTGTACGTTTACCCTAAGTGCTCCATTTGTATACCAGTGGAAAGCTCTTTTTTCTACTGATTAATTGAAAATAACAATAATTACCTCAATTTTGAAAATTCTGATTTTGTAGCTCATTTTGTAGTGACAGTTCACATTATTGATTATGCTTAATAATATTATTAATTCACCACCACCTAAGTCTAGTAGACATTTCTCAAAGTAGCCAATTTGATTCACGCTGGTTGTATTTTGTCTATTTCCTATTGTCGTTCGCATTTGTGTCCTTGCTTTACTCAATTAAAGGCTACACTGCTTTTTTCGTTCAGTTTCCATAGCGAATAATAATGACATATGAACTGTTTCAGTAACACTTTTCTTAATAGATATGTTGTCAACTTAAAACTTGTTAACAATTTTTGTGGCTTGTGGATCATCATCTTGGAGATGGGGGAAAAAATCAACGTGGGAAAGTGGAATCCGCAGGGAGGGCTTGTCCATCAGGTGCCGTTCTCTGAATATGAGCCAGTTGGGACGCTTCTTGAGATTTTGAAGGTCGTGCATGTTCTTTTCTTGAAGATCTTCTTGCTGCATATCGTTGTCAGCGTTGGACTGCAAAGTGAATACAAGTAAAAGAAACAATGTTAATTTAAGATTTATAAAGCACCAGTTTCCTACTAGAAGATTAATCAACCGTTTATTCCAAACCAAAGCGTGTGTTTACGAGAGCCCACGTTAAATGTGTTTCGTATAATTAGGTTGATACATGTCCATTTTACTTGCTCATTCACGTGAGCATCCAGATTTAAGTGATCATTTAATTTGATAAAAAGCAAATTGGAAAAAAATATCTGTAAAACAAACGAACAACTCAAACAAGTCTACCTGAAACCTTTATTCGTTTTCTGTGTAATTGTATTATCCGTTTCAGCTATTTGTGTTACATTTGCCAGAAGAAATTGCATTTCAAATTATTTTTCACATGATACATTCAAGTATTTCAATCACACCTTGACTATAATTAATGTTTATCTGTTGTGTTAAATGTTTATCTGATTTGATTATTACGGCGTAGAAATCGTCGAGTTTTAAGCTAGTGTCACGGACTCTCACCATTTGTGCTTTGCATGCTTATGTATCAGGCCTTGCTTGTAATGTTAAAGTGGAAGTGAACAGTGCATGAAGTCAATCGAGCGATTTACAACTACTGGCCACATCTAAATCAAATGGCTGCCACAAATACCATTGCCAAAGGGAGTTCTACCGAAAGATATCAAACGCTTTTTACTGGGTTAAGTACAATGAACCCATATCAAATGACAACAGAATTGCAAGATTTAAATAAAAAGAGAACATGTAATAGAGGGCAGATTTCATTACAGAATCTGTTGACCCATTACTCTGTAAATAAACTTTGTATGACACTTACTCTCACATGACGGATCATTTCGAGTGCATCGGCAACAAGAGCAGCATTTTCATGAAATAAACAAATAAAGAAAAAACACTGNAAGTCCGTAATATGAAGAACAACAAAGAGTCAAACTTGCAATCCAGCTGAAAGATCTCAGATTTTTTTTTGAAATAAGGATCTTGGAAAGGAATGACTTGTTTTTGGAGATGTATACTTGAAATTATTGTGGATTGTTGCAGTTTTGGTCACAAATCAAACGTTTCCCAGTCCGACTGTTGTGCTTGTGATATCTGATGACCAACAGCAGTTACCCGCAACGTACAGGCATCCGTGTGAAATAGATAAAATCTCTGAATTAAATAATGTACTAATAAATTATACATATAATCATAAAATTCATAAAAGAATTAAACGCTGACATTCCAAACTTAGCCAATTTTTAAGACACCAATACAGGGCTGACGAAGAGTGGGATATGCATGGACAAACAGGTCTCAGTGGAGAAACACAAAAGGGAGGGGTGGGGCGGTAGAGTGAAGGAGGGAAAGGACAGAGGGATGAACATATTCTTCTACAAAACGTACATTCTGGGATGAAACTTAAAACAATGATGAATACTGGAATGGAACAAAGTAAATATTTGGAGGAGTTTTAAAGAACCTCTTCCTTGCCTGAGCCAAAATAAAAACGGATTTATTTTCCTAATGGAACAGGTTTATCTTCGAAGCAATCGGGGAACGGCGGTAAGCGTAAACCTAAGCCAATAGCCAGTGATGGTAAAATAGGAATCCAACGATCGTCAGACAATGTCTTCCAAAAATCACGACGTATACTTGGTTAGAAATGTTCCCCGTGCCTGAGATTCAGTGACAAACTTTCCTAATTCCAAAAGCCATATTTATATTTACAATTTGGTGTAAAAACCTTGCTATAGGGCGGGTTTTTGACAATCTTACCTGGGTTTTGTTCTCAGTGGCTCTGTTCATGTTCCCAAGAAAGCCATTGTCTTGTTGATTAACTGGTGCGGCGAAGGCTACTACCCCGGCGAATATCACCAGGAGGAGCATCTGAATCTTCAGGCTACCGTTTGCCATTTTGGCGTCTGAGGACAGTCAGAGCTAAGTTGTCGTTGAAGCAGCAATGAATCGGCGATACCATTCGACGGACCCAGTACAGTTTGCGAAACCTCCGAAGTCGCACAGTTATTATATTATATATTTCCCCACCTTTTACAACTTGCATTCCATTTTGATTCATAACAATAAATAGCCTAGGCACCACTGTTAACTTCGCTTTCCATTAAGAGTGACGAATACACTCAGTCAAAGGCTCTTTGCATCAATAAAAAATTACTCGGTGCAATGTGTTTCAGGTTGTTGCCTTGAACTAGTTGTTCAGATGTTTGTGGACAATGACCGGTCTGCCATGAGTTGAACTTACACGTTTTTTTTTAATTAACTAGCTATTACACGAAACTTTTGCAGCCAATTGCACCCTTATTTTGACATTGCACGCCACTGCTTTTATGATGAGAAGGACAAGTACACTTATTCAACTCCCCTCAGGTTGTAAGATACCAAAGTTACAAAAAGAAAAAAAAAGACAGCGGCTAGGGGGCTTTAGTCATAACGCTAGGGTTTGGTTGAACATGGTGCAGCGGCAGTTTACAATGGAACCTCAAAATTGAAATAATTGCTCACTTCCTTCTCTGAACCCCTCAACCACACAAACACCTCAGATAACCCGTTATTTTAAGTTTGAAAATAAACTTCGGGACATAGCTGTAGCAAGAAACTGTTTCTTCTTTACATAATTTATATAGTTTGCCTTTCTGTTTGGGTGGCCACAGTTTGCCGAAAATTCTGTCTGGATTTGCAACAAAACTTGCCTCAAAACATATATTTTGCTTCTCTCAGCGTTAAAATGATTCTCAGCGTATTCATTCAGTATATGTAGTTAAAATTGAGATATACTTGCGTGTTTTCATCACTGAAAAACAAATGTTATTGTTTTAACGCCTTTAAATGTCTTTTTGGTAACAATTTTACATGAACATGTGGTGTTAATAAAGCAAACCTAACCACGTCATGGTGTTTTTTTAAAGAAAACACTCATTTATATGTCAATATCTTTAGACATAATTACACATTTGGGTGTTAATAACAAGACACAAAACCACAGTTATTGGTGATAGCACTCTCTGAACAAAGAAACAAGGTGTTTAATACGAGCGATTCATCGCACTAGTACCCCTCCAAGAGTTTGCAACGCGTTGACCAATGACAATGCGCGAGATCTGTCGACCCTTTCCAAACGCGCACTTGGTATTTTACATGTTTACAATTGGTTACCAAACACTTTTGGGACGTTGAAATAAACTTCTACACCACATCATACATGTGTTTTTTTTTCTACTAAAAGCTCAAACCCGTGCCTGGCAATCCCGGGCTTTCCATTAAAATGTGTTTCCAAATGTGGAAGGACTTCATTGATCTTTGCTTTTAGCCTATAGTATGTCGTTCACATTAAAATAAAGAGACAAAACAGGCATTTAATTGATGTTTTGTGGCTAAAATGTAGACGACAGTAATGAAACCTTTTAAGGACAACCAGACTGGAAGCTGTCGTATAAAGTCATCTGATGATTTACTATTTATAAAAGCAAGGACAGATTGTTGTTGTGTCAATACCCCCCCCCCAAAAAAAAGAGGTTCAAAATAGAAAACCTAAAGTGGTTACATTAGGGGACTAATTCCGTTTAATTCCTTGAACAAGATATAAAAGTCTCTGTACGGAGCCGCGCTCGAAGAAAATTGGGCCGTAAAGGTTATGTTAAGAAATTCCAAATTACCCCTCCCCTCCACGTCGTAATAGTATAGGTCTCGGTCCGCCTTGGCTGAAGCTCAGTTGTTGATTGAACCTGCACATCACATCAACCATGAACATCAACAAAACGCCTTCCTTGTTTCTTTGTTTTTATTTCCATGCTATCATTCCCACTACCATCAGAACAAATTAGATAAAATAATTCACCACTACCTAAATCTAGTAGTCATGTTTTGGTTAAGGAAGTGGGGATCTGGACACAGTTTGACCCTCAGTGGCACCTGGATGTACAAGTCATGAAAACACAATTATGAAAGAGAGTTTAAAGTATCATGTTACCACAAATGCAGATTACAATCAAGTCTTCATGACATCTCATGTGTCTTGGCGAAGTGTACAAGCACTCGATGTGATGCAGTATGACTTGTTACGCCTAACAACGAGTTCTTTCTTATTAAGACGTCTTGCCTCCTTGTGAGGAGAATCTTATGTCCTAATATTAATATGTACGTAGCATTAATGTGTTTTACTACAGTTTTAAACACCAGTCACTATGACAAAACCCATTAATTATTAATAACACTCAACATTTATAATTATTATGCAAACGACGACAAGAGAAGAGAAGAGTCTTTGTACACTGACGCCAGGAGGGTGATAGAAACGAGACACCTTGCAGAAAACCGCCCTTTTCACATTTCTGTGTTGTTTGTGTTTTTTTTCACTCTGCTTTCAGTTGTTTCCGTATAAAAGTGATTGGTGAAAAATTTTAGTTAGTATTCTCAATAAAATCAAATGTCATTTTCCACAACCAACCCCATGTGCAGCATGAATGATTTCATGTTACAACATTTTGCGGTTTGTGGATCGTCGGGCGTGGTTTCATTAATCTTACTCTTAAGTCGGTCTCGTCTTTGTGAGGCAAGGGTGTGATCCAGAACCAGGGGGCAGCGGGGGTCTTTTTCCACGGGCCGAAAGTTTGAAATGTTAATGTTTCCAAATCTTGAATCTTAAGGATGATCCCTCACTGTTGGTGCTATTATCACATGGTTTTGGTTGGAGAGAAAAGATAGTGAGCAACAGTTCTTCGTTTTTTGTTTTTTTTTTCATAAATTTACTCTCATATTGTAAGGGCTTCCAACGATTCCTAAAAAAATTCTGTCTTGGTTGGCAGCAACGCTTGCCCATAAAATATATATGAACACTCTGATTGTATAAATGTATAACTCAGTTGCTGTGGGTAGCAGAAGCATTTGTAATGTCATAAATGATAAAGTGTCTTTATATTTCACTCAGATGTTTTAAATATTTTCTAACTGATTCTTTTCTTAGACCTCATGGCTGGCACAGTTTTGCCAACCATTAGCTACCAAAAGTGTGTTCCTGAAATAGCCCAAAAATCTATATCCTTAGGCGCCTACCCTACGTCTACTATTTCGTAGATTTCCCATTAAGTTTATTTGCAAAAGTAGGCAGATGTCATCATGTGCTGCATTGTATGCCTCCAGCATTAAAATCACACGGAAAATAGAACCCCAGACATTAATGGATCTTTAATGGCCAACAAAGAGACACGTAATTGTCGTTTACCGTATGGATTCCTTGCAAATCGACAAGTGATGTTGAGCAATTAATGTTGGATCAATGAACTTTGAAGTGCAATCTCCGTATGGCCGAATGCGCAACTGCAGAACACTGGCAATTGTAAGTTGCATTTAACGCTTGGAGTCCAGGGAAGGTTTTTAGACCAGAGGTAAAACAATACTTCATTGCGTTAGTGAAAAATTGTATTTGACACATCTTACACAATGCCATCAAGAAGCGTCCATGAAATTTTCATCATCCTGGAAACGGACTACAAGGCCTAGGTTTCATTTGGGAGAAAAGGCCATAATTTAAAAAATTTTGTCTCAGGAATCAACTCAAACATAGCAGTCTTAGTTTGAAGATTTAGAAAATATCTCGTTTCATATGTCTCTTAATCTCTAAAACACCTGGCGGGGCAGATTCAGCACCTTAGAGACCCGACTGCCACAAGTGCGATCTTTCGTGAACATAGCATGCATGTAAACACCTGTCTTGCTTCTCTTTCTCCTTACTGGGTTCTGATGTTCAGACAGCTAGTTTAATTGAAATGTTGCCGCCTCTTGAGTGTCAGCACGAGTACGCCGAGGACGTCAATGGAAAAGTATAATGCTTCGCCTGTGAGGGCATTTCAAAGGGCTTTTTACTCATTTGTCTACCCTTCCTTTTCATGTTTACATTTCTATTCTGTTTATGAGTAAGAGCTCTGTAACCCTGTCCAACAGGAAACAAGAGAGGGCGCAGTTTTACAAAGCAATGGATTCATGCACATTTGAGCCTGGACGTGCTGAAAACATGCTACCTATTTCTGTTTGATTGTACGGGTCAATGCGCGTGCATATGGGGCACACAGAGGAGCAAAGTTAATGAAAACTCTGGGTTCAACAGGGCGGTGATACAGATCGACAGATATCACCAAATATGGTCATAACCTTTCTTCCCAATTTTGTCAACTTAACAGAGATTACTTGTAATCCTCACCCCAGGTAAACACCCCTAGCCTGTAAACCCCCATTGGTTAGACTGCAACCACTGCTGAGTTATAATTCTTCGAAGATCAGCCACCCCAAGGAGCCCACTCTATCAGGAACTGGATCTCTTTGTGTACAAACGTGTGCCGACTAGTCGTGGCTGTTTCGGTTTGGACCTGCATTACTTATACGTCCACAGCTGTACGTATGATGAAATGCAGTTAGAGGGGACCCGGGAGATGTATTACCTACCATAAAACAGTCGTACAGGCTCAGCCAAGACCGAGAACTGACCCGGTGATGAGAATCTCCATATGGTGTCACTGCGCTTCGTGTATGGGCGTGGCTGCCCCGAGGGTTTTAAGAGAATCCCACCGTGCTGTGTCTTCACATTTTGAGAATGCATTTCAACTCAGCACGCACGCTAAGAACGAGGGCAGGAGCAACGGTAGAATGAGGAGGAGGCATCAGTGGATTGAGAAAGACAAGCGTCAGAATAAAGAGTTGACCATAAAAACCTTTCAAATGTTTGTTTATACTGCACGGATCTCTTGCCGTATAGACCAACGTGAAAAGAGCCCTAAGAGCATATCCAGGTGACGTATAATGTTAACAAAGCCTATTAAAATGTGGTCGTTTCCATCAAAATAAAAACATCAGAGCATAGCATAAAAAGGCATTATTTTTAAAATTATCTTTTTAAAGAATAATAATATTTTTTGAAATAAAGCAAGCCAAGCTTGATGTTACTCCTATTCAATTGTAAATACAAGGCCTTTTGAGACTGATTTTTATTTCTGTAACAGACTACAAAAATTAACCTCTAAAGTTTTTCTCTCTTTTAACTTTAATTTCAAGTGTTGTTGGCCAATGGAGATGGTGTTTGAGGTTTTATGCAAATGGCACTTCCATATCAATGAGCAACTGGTTGATTCCCAATGTTTAATTCGTTTTTATAATAGAACTCACATACATTGGCATACATTTTCGCTACTTTGGCCATTCATTGTTGAAGAAATATATGGCGATGATAAGCAACTTATCAACCTTTTTTTGAAATTGATCTTTAATGATTTAATTACAATCATGTTATTGGAAAAGAAAGACTAGTGCATTGATCCCTATCTTCCCTAAATGATATTTTACCAACAGCGCCCTTAGTTGCCCAGGAAGCATGGATAATTATTCAAATATTAAAAAAAATACATTTTCTGATACTTTTATCCCAAGTTTGAGACCCGAAAATTTGAGTGTATTGAAATTTATCGTAAATTGTAGAAATACTTCAATGAATATTACTTAAAGGTACACTTACACAAAGACGCTACTCATATTTTGTATTTCTACGTGGCTATCTTCGAAAACGGACTCAAGATTGCTTGAAACATAGAAACAAGTGCATTAACCCAGGAACATTTTTAATACATTCGATCTGTGCCGTGTTTCGGTGAAATCCCTTATCCAGCCTATTTCAGGCCTATCCATAGACTTTACGTGTCCTTATTCTCCTAGCACCAATCCCTGCCATCCGTCCAACCTTTCCATGGCGTCGAGTATAAACGCGAAGGTGGTTGACGTTAGACGCCTCTCGAGGCGCACGCTCGTTGAGACTGGTGTAATGAATGCCATTCTACGCATAGAGAAAAAGCAAAGGTTTTGCGGGAATTTTTCCAAGAAAGGTCGGCCAGAAATTCCACTTGTCTCCACTGACTCGCACAAATACAGCTGGACAGAATGAACTATATGGAAATCTAGTTATACAATTTTCAATGACTGATAATTTCCAAAACGTTGGCGTCTACCAAAATTGGCAAAGTCTTTCTTTTGTAAATCACTTATGCCCCTCTGTTTTTAAAACATTATTATGTATTATATATTTTATATTATTAAATATGTTATTACCTTATTGAGCATACCTGGATAGTCAGAGAAATAGCAATGTCAAACAGAATGTTTTGTATTTACTTGTTCAATGCATGTCAGCTGATGCGCAAGTTCTTTAACTGTATGGGACCTCAACGAAACCCCAACTTAATCTGGATGCAAGTTTCATAGATATTCTGCACTAGGTTTAGTTTGGTGCAGATCAACTAGATATGCTTTCAGTTAGTGGATCGTCAGAAAACTTGGCTCTTTCTGAGGGATGTAGAAGATTTTTTTACCTGGAGATTCCTTGGATCAGCAGCTTTCTCTACAGTGACGTCAGTCTCGTTAGCATCTCTACGAACAACCAGACCGACGCTCAGAAGAAACATGACCAAAACTTTCAGGCAAAAACGACCCACCATGGCTGCTGAGAGTCGTCAACACGAAAACTACGCTGATGTGAAGTCAACCTCGATGCTCCATGTAGAAACGATTTTCAGTGAGTGGTCTAGCAAAGTTTATTATGAACGTTGTACCTGACTTCAAAGTCGTAATTCAACATCCGGGCCAATGATTCCAATTCGAGCCTAATTTGAGACCGACCCTTTTATGACTCTAGTGTCGTATGGGTTTTACGTTGATTTAATAGTTCGTGTCTTAGCTAAATGCAAATTAATTATGACTTCAGAGCCCCATCAAAGCAAACGTGTCGCTCTATTTTAGGCATGACATTGTAGGCCGTACAGTCATCCTGCATCTATTGAATATGCCACTGAATATATATCTTGAATAGTACTAGTATTTTTAAACTATCTATCAAGTGGTCCTTCGTTCCCCCATTTTATTAAGTGCTCATTAAGAGAATTAATGAGAATGACCATTGAATAAGAATGACCGAAGCGTCTGTGAAAACCTCATTATCAGTTCTGAGAAACGGAGTACAGGCCCTAGGGTTCACGTGATCATTTTGAGTACTAGATTACCCCCTGCGGGGCATACAATGTCTGGGGCCAGATCTACGGCTAGTAGGTCTATATTCTTTGGACAGATATATTTCAGAATCATTTCTAGAAAAAGCAGTCCGATAAACATGGAGATTTAGAAGAAACCTCGTTCCAGTGGTCTCTTAACCCGAAAACAGCTGGATGGAGCAGATTGTACCCTTGTAGAGATTTGACTGCTACAAGCCTAATCTTTTTAAAACTTGGTGTGTCTGTAAACACCATCATCATCAGTTAACGTTTAAGTCTTGCTTCTTTCTGTCATCATAGGGCTTTGATGTTGAGGTCCTTAGGAATCCTATGGTCTCTTGAGGGTTAGCCCGAAGGACCTGGGGAGGTCGATGGAAAATAAAATTATGAATTCTAGCTGAAAAGGGAATTTTCGAAATACCGTTGACATAAATTCGTTTCTACAGCTGCTCATTTCCATCCTGACATTTCATTCTGTTTATGAATTACAGCTACGTAGCCTTTACGGAGAAGGAACAGATGAAAGCGCAGTTTTACACAGCAAAAGATGTCCCTTGGTGGGAGCGCGCCCACGTTCATGCGCGTTTGATCCTGGACGTGCTGAAAACGTGCTACCTATTTTCGCTCAGTGCTTGGCCGAGCAAGGTTAAGAAAATCCTGCTATCCTATATCTTCTTTGACGATGGCAATGCATTTTAACTTTTGGGCGCATGCTTAGAACGAGGGCAGGAGCGATAGTAAAACGAGGAGACTCCAGTAGACTGAGGAAGACCAGATTCACAATAAGGAGTGGAACAGTACTTTTTATATATTTCTGGATACATTAACGGCTCTCTTCCTATACAGACCGAATATTTAAACAGGTAAAGTAATATGTTCCCCAAGCCTAGTGAAATATACTCGTTTCCATGGAAACGAAAACATCTCAATAAAATAGGGAGCATTTTAATACATAACCAGTTTCGGGATGATGCTACTTCATTAAATGATAGGTACAACTGGTTTGTAATTGAATCCTTTTCTTCAAAGATCTCAAAGCATTTCCATATCAATGAGCGAGTCTGTGATGCTCTCCTATTAAGAACAATTCAGTGTTACATCGGTTTGTACACAGAAACTAACTGACTGAAGTTTGACAGATTTTGTTGTCAGACATTTTCGGTTCTTTAGATATTCATTGTTGTGTAAATGCATTGTAATGAGCAAGTTGTCAGCGCTTTTGCAGAGATATTTCCATTGAGTAAATTATGTGTGCACAATTCGAATGGAAAAACGTATTGCTAAGCCAAATCTCCCCTGAATGACATCACAGCAACTGCGTCCCGGGTTGCATGAAAAGCATGGAGAATTTTGAATGATTAAAGAATTAAGTCTTTCAGTACCTTTAACGGAAAGTTGGGCACAGATTTTGTAGTATGATGAAGAAGAGAATGAAATTTGAAGAAAAAATATCTATTCGTAATTCGTCTTTATTAAACAAATTTCAGCTGCATTTTAACAACAGAGGTGCAGCTGTGTAAATCATATTCTGCATGTCAATATTCGGAAAATCTTCCAAATGTAACTAAGATTGCTCTACGAAACGGATGTATGAAACCAAGAACGTTTTGAATGCTCTCCGTTTTGTTCCGGTGGAAGTCCACCGTGGCCGTAATACTTCCGTCTTCTCCTTCTAACCTTTCGGACCTTTCCATGGCGATGTATGTCACCGTCAAGACGGTTGACGTTCACCCCTCGAGTCGCACAATCGTTGAGACCGGCGTCCCGAATAGCTCTCTGTACAGACAGGAAAACAGATTTTGCAATAATTCTAGTCATCCCAGCTTATTTGGCTGATAAATTATTACATCCGGACGTTTTAAGTTTTTGTCCACTTCTAGGTGTTTGTCTATCTCCTCGTTGTTTAGGTCTCTGATTTTGTCCACGTCTCCCGTGGGGTCTTGCTCCTACCGTGTCCTCATATGTCGGTAAACGTGTTTCTCTTTTGTTTAATATTTTTTTGAGTTTACACTCTTTGAAAAACTTGTATTTGAAGTGCAATGCATTAAATTCAGATTACGTTTTGCATTCCTGACAAGCTTAACTGTCTATCTGAAGTTTCTTTAAGCTTCGTAGTTGTCTAGTTTGTTTTGAAATTACTGGTTTAGGGTAAATGATAGTAATTGAAGCGCCTATAGCGTCAAATTTGGCCATTTGTGGCACTATACAAAAACATTTTATTATATAATTATTATTAAGAAAAAAGTCATTGTACTATTATTGAAATAAACATGATAGGTTATGTAAGAGCAACAACAATGTCAAATGAAAATGCAAAGAAAACCTCAGGGGCACACCGATGCATATGTTCTTGAGGAGACACAGTTGATACATTAAAAATGTGGCTTAAAATGTACAATATATGATCAGAACATTGAATATCGCTCACGTATCAGTGGAAGTATGGTCAACCGACTGTAACTCGCACGCCACACCTCCTCACATGTGGCTATTTTCGATAATTTGTAAAGACCAACCGAGGGTTAAATAAGATTAGTTAAACATAGGGCATGTAAGCGGTATTCTACATACTAACCATGTCGGATAGTAAAAGAAGTACGGGGCATAATCACCAGTGTTTGTGTAGAATATTTATTTACCTCCAGATTCCTCTGAAGCGCAGCTTCCTCTGAAGTAACGTCAGACTCATCAGCATCTGTACGGACGACCAGACTGACGCTCAGAAAAAATATGACCAAAACTGTCAGGCAAAAACGACCCGCCATGACAGCTGAGAATCCTCGTTTATACAGGAAAACTAGGATGATGTGAAGTCAACTTCAGTGTGTAATATAGTAACGATTTTCATCGAGTGGTCGAGAAACCTATATCTTCATATTTTCAAATGACAACAAAGTAGTAATCCAACATCCGTGTAGATGAAGCAAAACTAACATTAGGCTGAACCTTTTATGTCTTCAACGTTGTGTCTGTTTATATCCTACTTTGTGAAACATGTCAAATCTATTTGCGAACTAAAAATAGGAATAATTACATGTATGAATTATAAGCCTGTTAAACCCAGGTGTCGATGTCGCGGGGATTAAAATCGATTGAGATATCACCAAATATAGTCATAACTTTTTTTCAGTGGATCAAATTTGTAATCCTCACCCCAGGCATACACCAAAAGCCTGAAACCTGCCATTGGCCAGACCCCAACAGCTGCCAAGTTAAAATTCTTGAAAGATCAGTCACCTCAAGGAGTCCATATGGTTTTGAAAGTGGTAGTTCAACATTTAAGTGTATGAAGCAAATGGCAGCCTAATGTCAGATTTCACTCCGTTATGACTTCAATATTGTACCGGTACTTACCATTTAATAATGTCATCTGATTACGAATTAGTAATTACAAGTTAATTACAAATTCGAGGCCTATTCAGGCAAATTACGGCTCAAATCAAGCGTTATTCCGTTAATGGCCCATCTGTTTAAATGGCACTTAATACAGATAACGTGAAACAGCACTTGCATGAAATACCGGTTAAATGCTCCAGCAGACCACTGTACCACACAGGCTCCATTTGACCTTCTTTTTTTTTTGTAGTTTTCATTTGAACAATTTTCCATTACCTTATGAAACTTCGCTGCTCGGTAAGCAGCAACATTAGATACATACCGCTTTCAATTAATTACACTTTTCTCCAAGTTTTGTCAAAGGAATCGCTCTACATGTTGAACTTTTTGAAGACAGAACACTCACAGAACAAAGGATGTTACCTTCTATTCATTGGACAGTCATTTATCCTGTTTTGTAAGTGGATTTGGTTAGTCCTAGGGAAAGTTCCGTATTGTAAGAGCAATATGAAAGCCAATAGTATCAAATTGAGCAAGGTAGCAATCAGAGTAGGCACTGTGTCCGGGGCCCAAGAAAAATACGGGGCGTAAAGAAAATGAGGAGTGGAGCAACACTAGACCGAGGTGGAGCACGCTGAGAACGAGGAGGGGAGCAACACTAGACCGAGGTGGAGCACACTGAGAACGAGGAGTGGAGCAACACTAGACCGAGGTGGAGCACGCTTAGAACGAGGAGTGGAGCAACACTAGACCGAGGTGGAGNAGTAAATGCATTGCAGTAAGCAAAATTATTAGCCTGTTCTCAAAAATGCTTTCAGTGAGTAAATTATGGATGCGCTATTCGAATGGAACAACCTATGCACTAAACCAAATCTTCCCACAATGACATCCCAGCAACAGCGCCATGGGTTGCCAGAAAAGCATGGATGACTTTCAAATGATTAAAGAATTATATCTTTTTAATATCTTTAACCCAAAGGTGGGCACAGATTTTCTAGTATACTGAAGAAGAGTATGAAATTGCAGACAAACTATTTCTATTCGAAATTCGTCTTCGTGAAACAAATTGTAGCTACACTTTAACAACAGAGGTGCGGCTGTGTAAATCATATTCTGCATTTCGATATACGGAGAATCTTTCAAATGTAACTAAGATTGCTCTACGAAACGGGTACATGAAACCAAGAACGTTTTGAATACACAGAATGCTCTCCGTTATGTCCCGGTGAAAGTCCACTTTTATTCGCGGCCGTAATACTTCCGTCTTCTCCATCTAACCGTTCGGACCTTTCCATGGCGTTGCATGTAACCGTCAAGATGGTTGACGTTCACCCCTCGAGTCGCACAATCGTTGAGGCCGGCGTCACGAATAGCTCTCTGTACAGACAGGAAAACAGATTTTGCAATAATTCTAGTCATCCCAGCTTATTTGACTGATAATTACACCTGGACGTTAATATTTCGATTTGGTTTTGAATTTTTTGTCCACTGCTAGGTGTCTGTCTATCTGCTTGTTGTTTAGGTCTCTGATTTTGTCCACGTCTCCCGTGGGCTCTTGCTCCTACGGTGTCCTTACATGTTGGTAAACGTGTTTCTCTTTTGTTCAAACTTTTTTCTTTAAAAAACTTGTATTTGAAGTGTAATGCCTTAAATTCAGATTTAGGTTTGCATTCCTGACAGGCTTAACTGTCTATCTGAAATTTCTTTAAGTTTCGTAGTTGTCTAGTTTATTTGAAATTGCTGATTTAGGGTTAATGATAGTAATTGAAGCGCCTAGAGCGTCAAATTTGGCGATTTTGGCGCTATACAAAAACATTTTATTATATAATTATTAAGAAAAAAGTCATTGTACTAATATTGAAATAAACATGATAGGTTATGTAAGAGCAACAACTTTGTCAAATAAAAATGCAAAGGAAACCTCAGGGGCACACCGATGCATATGTTCTTGAAGAGACAACTTCATACCTTAAGAAATGTGGCTTAAAATGTACAATATATGATCAGAACATTGAATATCGCTGACGTATCAGTTGAAGCATGGTTAACCGACTGTAACTCGCACGCCACACCTCCTCACATGTGGCTATTTTCGATAATTTGTAAAGACCAACCGAGGGTTAAATAAGATTGGTTAAACATAGGGCATGTAAGCAGTATTCTACATACTAACCATGTCGGATAGTAAAAGAAGTACTGGGCATAATCACCAGAGTTTGTGTAAAATATTTATTTACCTCCAGATTCCTCTGAAGCGCAGCTTCCTCTGAAGTAACGTCAGACTCATCAGCATCTGTACGGACGACCAGACTGACGCTCAGAAAAAATATGACCAAAACTGTCGGGCAAAGACGACCCGCCATGGCAGCTGAAAATCCTCGTTTATACAGGAAAACTAGGATGATGTGAAGTCAACTTCAGTGTGTAATGTAGTAACGATTTTCATTGAGTGGTCGAGAAACATATATCTTCATATTTTTAAATGACAACAAAGTAGTAATCCAACATCCGGGCCGATGAAACAAAATTTAGAGTAACATTAGGCTGAACCTTTTATCACTTCAACGTCGTGTTTGTTTATATCCAACTTTATGATACATGTCAAATCTATTTGCAATCTAAAAATAGGAATAATTGCATATATAAATTATATGCCTGTTAATCGATTGAGATATCACCAAATATGGTCATAACTTTTTTCAGTGGGCCATCTTTGTAATTCTCACCCCTGGCATACACCAAAAGCCTGTAACTGCCATTGACCAGACCCAGCCGAGTTAACATTCTTGAAAGATCAGTCACCCCAAGGAGCCCATATGGTCGCTATCAGGAACTGGATCTCTTTGTTTACCGACATGTGCTGACTGGTCTGCTGTTTGGCTTGTGACGTGGTATTGATTATACTTCCACGGCAGAATAATGGAATCTAGTTAGAGGGGACCTAGGAGATGCATTAGCTACCATAAAACAGTCGTATGGGTTCAGGCATGACGAGGAACTGACCTGGAGACTACAATCACCACATGGAGGAAGGGTATTTTTAGGGGGCGGAGTCTGCTCAGAGGGTAAAGCAAAATCGCTGCGTTATTTTTTATGCATCAAAGTCCCCATGGGACATTGTCACATTTGTATGAACAAGGCGAAACACAGTGCCCTTTGCATGCTGGGATATTACAAAACACGGCCGGGCTTCAATGTTTGACGCTTGGTACTGTTCGAACTGACCACTTGGCGTTGCCAAATGCGTTTGTGGCCAGGTCAGCTGAATGGGACCAGACCAGCATTGTAGGTGAGTCAACGAATAACCTAGGGGCCTACGAAAAAAGGAATATAACAAGGTGCTGGGTAAGACTATACTTAGGAGGCACACACTTAGAACGAGGATTCGAGCAGCAACAGACTGGGGTGGAGCACGCTAATTAGAACGAGTAGTGAAGCAACACTAGACCGAGGTGGAGTACGCTGAGAACGAGGAGTCGAGCAACAACAGACTGGGGTGGAGCATTGAGAACGAGTAGTGAAGCAACACTAGACCGAGGTGGAGTACGCTGAGAACGAGGAGTTGAGCAACACGAGACCGAGGTGGAGCACGTTGAGAACGAGGAGTGGAACAACACAAGACCGAGGTGGAGAGCGAAGAGGGGCAAAACAGCCAGAGGTTGGGCGAGCACATAACAAGGAGTTCAGCGCCACCTGACTGAGGGGAAGACGTCAGTTCATACATTCTGATTGCTATTAACACTGACGAATAAATATGCATCCCAGCAGGTGTGAAAATGCAAATAGTTTTAAAAACGTTTTCAAATTGAGCATTACTCTTCACATCAGATTGGTTGACGCAATGAATTCTCTGGCCCGTTTATTGCCAACTCCCAACTGCAGTGTCTCCGGAAATTCCATGTTTTGCGTTCTCTCGGCTAAAACAGTGCCAGTTTTGAATAACAGTTTGCACTAAATATCAATCCTCTCGCATGTTGAATGCAAACTCCCTACTCTCACCAGAAATGACATATTTAGCTGTCTGTACACCGAAATCAGAGCCAGGATTAATAACAGTTCTTTGCAAAGAGCCTCCAGATTTACGCAGTTGAGATACAGTGTTCCAAAAATAAGGCAAATTGTCCTCTTAGGCCTATGTCAGGAAATAACATCACAGCAACGGCTCCCTGGATTGACAGAAAAGCATACATGATTTTTTTAATGATTAAAGAATTAAATCTTTCAATACTTTTAAATTAAAAGTGGGCCCAGGTTTATTAGGCATATTGCAGAACAGTATGAAATTGCAGAACAACTAAAAAAAATCAGACCTCTATTTGTGAAATAAGTTACAGCCGTAATTTTACAACAGAAGTATACGGCAGTGTAAATCGTATTTTCCATTTCAATATACGGAAAATCTTCCACATGTAACTACGATTGTCTTTCTACGAAACGGGTGCACAGAAAAAGGAACGTTTTACAATATACTGAATGCACTCCGTTATGTTCTGGTGAAAATCCATATTCATCTGTAATACCAATGCACCCTCTTTCTCCTTGTAACCATTGCTGCCGTCGGTTGGACCTTTCCACGGCGTTGAATTTTACCGTCAAGGTGGTTGACGTTAGACTCCTGTCGAGTCGCACGCTCGTATAGACTGGCGTCAGG